AGGAAAGAGCAGCTTAGGGTGTCTTCCACTGGTAGACTATGATTGCATACTTTTAAAAGAAAGGGATTAGTAAATGGTACACTAAGTTTCAATTATCCAATGTTTTATAAGTATCAAAGGACTAAAATTAGTTTATCATTTAATAATAATGTGCTCTCTAAAAACAGAGTGAAGACTTGTAGGAATGTATAATGATGTAGTGAGTTCTGTGATAAGTGAAAAAGAGTAAAATATGATAAAGGAGAAATAAGAAAATAAGGTGAATTGAGAGGATGAACTCAGTACATATATTATATATCTTAAATATGTACTAGGGATGTGCTACTGATTTGGCTTTGAGTTTTCTAACAGCCAGAGCCAAGAGGACAACTCAAAATTCTGATGAAAAATTATTTGCTTAGCTGAGCATGATGGCACATGCCTGTATTCCTAGCACTGAGGGAGACTGATGGAGGCCTGCAAGTTTGAGTCCTGCCTGAACAACTTCAAGAGCCTCTGTTAAAAAATTAATAAATGAATGAATGAATGTCTATACATTAGCTCACTGGTAGAGTGCTTCTGGGTTCAATTCCCAGTATTTTTTTAAAAAAACCTATTAGAAAGACCTTTTGGGATCTAGTCATTAGAATTGCAATCATCTATTGTGCACATTGGATGGGCCAAACACTACATTAAATGTGTTAAGGATAAACTTTAAGAATATTTTCATTTTGCTGGTGAGGAAATGGAGAACAGCAGAGATCCAGTGCATCTGTCAATGTAATAAACTGAACAGTGGTTCATCTTTCTTTAGTGTGCACTGTGAGCTGGATAAACAGTGGTGGAAAATAGCAGGAACATCTGGCATCCACTGTTCACCTTGGCCTTTCCTAAGTTCTTAGATGCTCCAAGTTACCCTATTCTTAGTAATGATACCAGTACCCCAAACACCAGGCTTTGCCTGAAGGGCTCTTGATTATTCTAACTCTCAAGGTGTCTTTTGGTTTCTTCTTTCTGCAATTTCATTTCCATACTAAGCAAAGTTTTATTATATTAATGAACATATTTCTGGCTGGGGGGCAGGGGTATCCTGGGACTAACTCCAGGCCTTGCAAATACTAAGCATTGCTAAGCACTGAGCTACACATTTGGTCCCAAATAGTCATTCCAATGCATTTCCAAGACTTTCAACTAGCATAGATTATGCAACAATTTTCCAATCTGAACACAAGAATATTTTTTTTATTTAGTACTGGGATTGAACCTTGGGACTCCCACATATGAAGTACTTGCTCTACCCCTGAGCTATACATCTGGCATCAACCTATTTGACTTTTGTGAAAAGGGGCATATGGCTCAGTGGTAGAGGTCCCCATGTTCAATCCCCCAACTGCAAAAACATTAAAAAAAATTAAAAAGACTAAACATAACTGTAATGGTTGATACCTGGTGTATCAACCTGAGAAGTTTAGAATTTTAAGCGATTCAGCAGGTGGCCAGAATCCTTACTTTGTAAGCATCCTCATCCTGTGCAAGAGGAGGGCAGGGAGATGGTGTGAGCACTACATACACGTGCCTTAGGGAGTGGTAATATAAAGGAGGAAAAAAGGCTTGCTCTTCCCGCTTCTTGCTCTTGCTGTTTTCTGTGGCCTTGAACTGTTGCCCCTATGCCATGTGCCACCCTGCCTTGGAGCCAGCTTATTACGGACTGAAACTTCCACAGATTTTTTTTTTTTTTTTGATACTAGGAATTGAACTCAGAGCCTTCCACTTGCCAGGCAGGTGCCTGCACCACTGAGCCAAATCCCCAGCCCTACAAATTGTGAGCTAAATAAACCTTTCCTTCCTTAATTTTGAGTGTCCTGTATTTTGTCTCAGCAATGAGAGAGAAGTAACCAAGACAACAACCTCAGAGCTGATATTGTAGCACTTCTGTCCTTGTCATTCAACACAAAGTAGTGAATAAACTAGCTCACACTCAGTGTAAAAGGAGCATTCAAAACAAGAACACAAGTACCAGGAGGAGGCCTTGGGGGCCACTTTAGAGGCTGCCAGGTTGAAGTATACTGCACAAGTATTAAGAGTGCTCTATAGTGTCACTTCATATTAGGGGACATAGGTGGGATCAGCTGGGAAGCAAAAATTGAGGGCATTCTGTGTTCAGCAATCAAGTGTCTTTCTTTTTTTCAAAGCTTCAGATACTTAAAGAGATGTGGTCAATGAGCAGAACTGAAAGAACTAAGAATCTCTACCCCTGTAGTGATTCCCCCTTCTCTGCATAATAATTACTGTAAAAGCAAAAGCTTCAGACTATAGATACCATTACAGCAACATAAAAATCGTGATTAACATAGTAATACAAACTAGGGATGAAAACAGTGTTAACTTTGCAGTCATAACTTCATTAGAAGTTCAGCTTTTAAACACTATTGGTGGATAGGTGTGCTCTTAAAAAAGTCATTTTAGTGTTTTGAGGTTCATTTTTCCTTTTTTTTTTTGACAGTACTGTACTAGAGCAGAGCTTAGGGTCTCACACTTACTAGGCAAGCACTCTTACATTCTTAGCCCCACTTTTCCTTTCTTAACATAAGCATAATAGCATCCAATACTGACTTCCAGCTTTTACACTGCACTTGCACAGCAGCTACTGAGAGCCCTGAGTTACACAGAAGCCACACTGACAACTACAGACGTAAAAACTTTTTATATGACCTGCTTCCTTAGAATTTTTATCTTACACTTTTTGACAAAGGTTTAGCCATACACTTTAATCATGTTTCACTATCATGGATATATTGAAAGAAAAAGACAATACATTCGCTTCGTTCTTAGCGGTTCTTCAAACATACTATCTCCCCTTCGGAGTAACCTTTCAACACAAATTTGTCAACGCCCACGTTTTGCGTTATTTTTATTTTAATAACACGTTCTGTGTGATTCACCTTTGCCCAACTATTATCATTTCAATATCGAATCACTACGAAACACTATCGAGAGGCTTTCCTGTTTCCTTGCTTTCGTGGACGTACTAGGAGGCCGAACCTCGCTGCAGACCCCCTCGCCTCCCGTCTCCGTTCACGCGCTCACGTGGTCCGTGGCCGCTGTGTCTGGTCACATCCCTTCTGCGTGCGGTTTCTTGTCTTTCCGGCTATTTTATAGAAAGTAATTTAACTTTGTCTACTAAGCCTCCCATGAACTTTTTATTTTGAGACGGCTGTCGTCAGGCGTAGCTGCTCAACAGCGGCGACGGTGCCCACGCCCACCCCCGGCCCGCGTGCGCGCCGTCAGCGCTCGGGCACCGCAGCGCCGGCCGCGGGGGGCGGAGTCTGGAGCGACGCGCTCCCGGAAGTGACGCTGACGTCCCGTGCGTTCAGGCGGCTGCGTCGGGCTGTAGGAGAAGATGGCGGTCTCCACAGGTCGGTTTCTGGGGCGGGTTGCCTGCTTTCCCGCTCGGACCTGGCCTTGCCCCGCCGCCTGTTCCTGGGGGTCGGGGGCTCCTCGTGTGGGAGAAGTCGAGGCGCGCTCTCTTGAGCACTGCGCTCCGTGGGAAGCAGAGCCCGGGACTGGGCAGGGTGCGGGTGGGACCCGCGCGGATGCCGGGGGCCCGGGGCGGCGGGCAGGGGTGGCTGCTGGTCGTGCTCGCGCGGCGGCCGCGCGCTCGCGGCTGGTGGCGGGGTGGCCCCGGCTGGTGAGGGTCCGCGCTGCGGGTTGAAGGTGCTGGGGGAGGCGGGAGAGGAGGCCCAAGGTGGGCGGGTGTCAGCCTCGGGTACCAAAGCGGGGTCGCGCCTGGAGGCCTCCCGGGTCGCGGTGGGGGGTCCGGTCCTCCCAGGCTCCACTGCACCGGGGTGGGGGAGGAGAGACCAGGGACAAGAGGACGATTGCTCTTCGAACGTGAGATAGGTGATTGTCCTTACCTGACTGTGTTGTCTTTCTTTCATTTAAGTGAAAAACTGCAGTGCAGACAAATTAAAAGCATAGAGCAAGATGAAAGCTAATTGAAGAACAAGTGGTATCTTAGATAAGCTGTTCAACTCCTCTCATACTGAATACAGTGTTTGGTTTCCTCTGAGCACAGACTTTCAAATTAAGTACGCTGAAGCTTGAAAAAATTTGACCATTTGAAAAATGTTAATGAGTTAAAAGTATTGTTTTGCTGTTTGAAAAGGTAGTGTTTCTTTTAGTTGTATTGAACTGGGTTATAGAACTGTGATTTAATATTTCATGCCATTATTGCATAATAAAATGAAAATATTAAATCTGTATGTACTAAAGTAAAAGGCTTTGATATATGTTGTAATTGGTACTTTCAAGGTAATGCCTCAGAATTCATTTTGCATGTCTGTGAAATCGTCTTTATTATGTATATGTATCATAGGTGATAAAATCTTTAGCAATTTCAGCTTTGGGAAAATAGTTCAGTATTCTTGGGCATGGCTAACTAGCAAAACAAAGATAATTCTAAAAGTGATATTTTAGTGTTACAACTTTAATGACTGTACTTGCTGTTTGAAATCCATATGCTTGTGAATGGGACCATGTCTTTTGAAGAGTTGTACCTAGTATCTGTAGGGTTTTTTGTTATTGGTATATGTTTGCAATACATTATAAGAGAGGAAAAGAGGCTCATTTTAGGAAATTGGTACATATACTCTATATCTCGATCAGTTTTGATAGTGTTTTCTTTCCTCTGCCAACTCTTACCTCTCCTTTTCTCTCATCACCCTCCCCATCTCCAAGAAGTGTATCTTCCTGTTTCCTACCATCTATTATTTTACTGTTTATATTTTGGGTTTGTCATATAATAAAACCCTGTGATAATTGATCTACATCTGATTTGTTTTGCCACTTAACATCGTCTCAAGATCCATCCATTTTTTCTACAAATGATTTGGATTTATCTGTTTTGCCTTGTTTTGTTTTGTTTTGTTTTGTTTTTCTGAGACAGGGTCTCACTGTGTAGTTCAGGCTGGTCTTGAACTCACTAGGTAGCCCAGGTTGGTCTGGAACTCTATGATCTTCCTGTCTCAGCCTCGCTAGTGCTGGGATTACAGGCTTGTGCCATCACAGAATTTATACTTCTTTATGGCTGAGTGGTACTCCATTGTGTAAATATACCACATTTTTATTATCCATTGGTCTTTTTAGGCATCTAGGGTGCTTCCATAGTTTAACTATTGTGAGTTGTGCTGCTGTGGGCTTGTATGCATGTATTACTGTGGTGATTTATTTTACTCTTTGGGAAAATACCCAGGATAGGTATAGCTGGGTCAAATATATAGTACCTGTAGTTTCCTGAAGATGAAATAATAAAAATGTGTTTTGAGAGTTTTCATTTTGTGATTACATTATTTAAACAGTGTTGGAATACTTTTCATTTTGTGATCACATTATTTAAGCAGTGTTTTCCAACACTGTTTGTTGAGAGAATGTGAAAATATTTTGAAAAGACCAGAGAGTACATATTAATGGCACGTACTTTTGTTAACCACTTTTAACTGTTTTTGGAAGGAAATATACATTATACATGAACTGCTAATAATCATTAGAATATTTACTACACATTAGAACCCTGTATTTTTGGGTTTATATAAATATTTATTATAGTTTAACTGTTTTTAGATTGGTGACATTTGAGACTCGGGCGTAATTAAAATTTTTTTACGTAGATAATTTAATAGTCTTAAGATACTGAAATTTAATTTGAAACTCCTATTAAAAACTTGCCATGGTCAATTTTGTATTCTGTTTCATTGATTTTTTTTGTGCTTTAGATAATAATACTGTCAAACTGGGAGGAAACTGAATCCAGAAGAAGCTTAACACTGTTTTGAAATGAATTGATTTTGAATTATACTGTCTGTTAAATACACTTTTGTATTGCTTGATTTTGGTAGAAAGGAAAGCTACCTGTGTATTTTTAAAATAAATGTCACATATTTTGAAATTTAAAATCAGATGAGTATAATATGCATGTGTTTTCTTTAAGTCAGTATATCTCGATAAAGATAATTAGGCCAAAAAGGTTTAAAAAACAAACCAGCCAACCCTGATTTTTAAAAAAAAATTTTTTTTGAAGCAGAATCTGTGGAGTCCAGGCTGGACTTGAACTTGCTATGTGGCCTAAGTTGTCTTTCAACTCAAGATCCTCCTGCCTCAGCCTCCCAAATTCTTCAATTGCAAATTCTGTGCCACCACACCCAGCATGAATATTTTTCATCTTTATTAAGAGCATTATACTTCACTATGCAATGACTACTTTTACCATTCTCTCAATTTTTGAGACTAATTCTAGTTAGGTTGAAACTTTTTGACTGAAACATACTTTGTGTGTCCTTCTGGCCCTCACTGCATATGAGAAAACTGAAGCTAAAAGGAGTAAAAGATTGTATATAATTGGTTAGTAATAAAAGTTGGTTAGCAAAAAAAGCATGATTAGAATCCAGGTCTTATACCCTTAGTTCAGTGTGCTTGCCATTATGAGAAGCTATGAATTTGGAAATGATCCTGAAAACACTAACTTTATTTCTTTTTAGGCTTAGTGAGTGGCTTTCACATTTCCCTTCCTCACAGAATTCTTATTTCAGACTCACAGATCTTTCTCGTTGATGGAAGTGGGACTGCAGTGGAAACCCTGCTGGCTAGGTTCCCCTTTCCAAGAGACAGAGTTATTTGGAGTCAGCATTTCCTACAACATAGTCTTAAGGAACACTAGTGTAAGGAATAGGAATTTGTAAATACTATTTAGTGCCTGTGATTCAGAAACTCACAAGATCTCAGCATTAATCTAGTGTGAGATAAAGGGTACCTCGTACTTATTTACCTTTTTAAATAGATCAACAATTATGAAGATAATACCGTGAATATCTGTGTACTTCACATTCACCTTCCACTGTTGATAAATTAATGTGGTGTGTTTGTCGTAGTTAACTAATATTGACATTATTAACTAAAATCTATATTCAAGTTTTTTTTGTTTTAGTTAACATCTTTTTTCTGTCTAGGACCCCATCCATCCAGGATACCACATTATACCATAACATGTAATGTTTTAAAATTTGTCACTTACGCTAGTGTTGCAGTGGGACTCTAGTGTCTTTTTTTTTTCTTTGTTTTCCTGAGATGGTTTCACCATGTAGTTCACGCTGACCTTGAACTTGTGACAGACCTCCTGCCCCAGCCTCCTGAGTGCTAGGATTACAGGCGTGTGCCACCGTGCCTGGCTCCTAGCCTCTTTGAGTGCAGATGCTTGTAAAATGTCATTAATGAGAAGTCCATAAAAAATGAAATATTTTTCTTTGAGAGTAGAGTAGGTCTGTGTAAGCTGTATGGACAGAAAACAAAACCAGAGTAAACGCTTTTCAGAAGTGGGCAGCTTTGTGTATGCTAGTGGAAGAATTAGTTTAGCAGTTTTCTGATTTCCTTGCAGTCTCTGACAGGCTGGTCTGGCATTATGGGGATGTTCTTTAATCATTAATCCTAGCTTTTCTCATCTTTAGATGAAGATGCTTAGCTATAAACAGGACTTGGGGAGTAGGAACAGAAGAGAATTGTATGTGTAAATCATAACATAGAACCTTAGAACTAAACAGTGGAAGAACTAAGCTAGTGTATTTGCATCTAGAGACTTGTTACTGATCTAGTAGATTTTTCTTGATATATATGTGTATATGCTCTTGAGAATGTGATTAAATAAAGCATCCTCACTATACAGGCAGTCCTTCGTTTTTAGAGTAGTTTGGGGAGCTAACAATGACATGCAGCTGAAACTGTTCAAAGCCATCTGGGTAAGTAGAAAAGTTGAGACCTTTGAAAAAGTTTGTCAGAATATTAAAAATGCTCTGGTTGGTTACAAATTATAGGAAAATTTTAAAAAGTAAAATTAACATTCAGTACATTGAATTTTAAAATGAGAGCAATTAAGAGTTAGGGTGTTTCATTTTCTTATAAAAGCTTGTCAAGCAGTTTGCACAGTGCTTCCCATTTTCTTCTTGTATAACTTACGATACAGAGCAAGAAGCATCTTTTCTAAGCTTTGAATTAGCACATTCCTAAGACTGTTATCCACCAGTATTTTGTCCTCTGGGCTTTAAGTATTTGGAACCATCTTTAACAGTTCTCTTATGAAGTTTTTCACTTCTTTTTCTCACAACTAGCTTCTTCATTTGTGTTTATTAAGTTCAGCTTCACAGATTTTCTGGCTGCTTATTGCAGCTCAGTTTTTAATTGCTGTATTTCCCTTACTGCTTAGTTGTAGTAGTTTTTTTAATGTATTCTAGATGCAAGTCCCTTATGGTTTGCAGGTACTTTCTCCCATTATTGAAGTTGTCTTCATTTTACTTCCAATGCTGTCCTTCAGAAGTCAAAGGTATTACATTTTTATGAAGACCAGTTTATTTTATCTATTTTATTAAAATGC